TTTGAGAGGGTCTAACTTTTAAGAGTTTCTGCCTGCTGGTTAATTCAATTAAAGCAAATTGAAGTAATCCTTCTTTCTCTTGGAGAAGGCATTAAGAGGACAATGACACCTTCTATTTCTACTTTTTAAATATTAAATGGAGAGGGAATAATTGTTCTAACATTGTTCTAACCACACTCTGGTCATACTGCTGTTCTCTTGGCAACTACCAGATGTCCAGGTCCATTCCATACATAACAGCTGTTATCAGTTACTTAATCACCATTTGTGATGCACAAGAGAAAAAAATCACTTCAAAATCCAATCTTGACTTTACATAGCAATATTAAAAGATTAATTCTTTGGTGGAAAGTGTAAGAGTAATCACATTCAACACATTTTGTCAATAGTAGGATCAGGCCAGAGTGATGAGAAAGCTAATTATGAGAACTAAGGCTTCTATAATAATAAACTATAACTTCAAGACATTTACAGTACATTATAATGGAATTGCAACTGACAAGTAAATTTAAAAGCAGAGGGAGATTCACTGCTTTGCATTTCTGAAATAATATTGAAAAAAAAAAAGAAAAACAAAACGAACAAGAAAGTGGACAAGAAAAATGAATTTGTTTCAACAGAGGTTCTTCTCTTGATCAGCATTTCCATGGAGTTACTTCTTTGACGAGAAACTTCAAAACTGTTTACTGTTAATTTGATGATAGAAACTTGATAAATACTTTGAGTGCAAGAGTGATAAATATTATGTGAGTGAGTCATCCCTATTCACGTACTCCTCAGGGAAGCTGTGTGACATCATCAATGGGAATCTGGATTGTTTAGTTACCTCATGTTCTAAACCTGAATGTGAACTGCTATATGATGACTATCAATAAAAATGCATGAGGAAATCAAGTAAAAGAATCCATAAAATATGAACTAGCCTGGGAACCAAGCAGCTAATAAGTCTACCAGGCCTTGGATAGAGTGATGGAAGTTGTATAAAGAAAAACACCGTCAAGTTGAGTGATATATTTTACATTTCACCTTGTGTTATTCCAAATAAAGACTGTATTAAAACTACTGTCTTTTATTCTGTAATTGTCTACACCCTTGCAGACCTTACAGAATTACAACTGCATGTGTTTGACTCACTGTACACTGTATTAGCACATGAACACTTTGCTGTCAAGACAACCCCTATGCCCACAGCGTTAGGTTGCCTGGATTTTGCTAACAGAAACCCAACTGAAAATTCAAAACAGAATCTAGACACAGAAGATATTGAGTAATGTATGCTAACTTCATCTTAGATTAGCTTCCATGATCTCAGAAGTAGTCATTTGCATATTTGTCCGGGTTTGTTTGTGGGTTTCTTAATTCTGCCCGTAACAGATCTGGGCTAATGAAAAAAAGAATCTCACCCGAAAGCAATTACCTGTCTTCACTGATTTGTTGCATCAGTGGCCACAGTTTCAGACAAATTAAAGAATCCCTACATTATTTTCATTAGTAGACAGGTTGTGAGCATTTGAAGTATACGAAGAAACCACGTTTAGAAGGTTTGCCCATTGTTGGCAAATCTTGGAAGTCGATCATTTGCTCCCACAACCGGCACTATCCAATGCCTTCTTGGAGCCGAGCACATTAAGGCATTAGATGCCATTTGCATTATCACACAGCAGGGGGCTACAGCACCTACAATTCTAGGATAATCCTAACCTGTATCTGTACCCTATGAATCCAACGGAACTATTTTTATTGTTACAGTTTCTCACGTGGTACCTCTTGACAACAACAAGCTTACTTGTCAGGTTGCATAAAAACAGCTCAGACGATGTACTTGAGTTATTCTAAAAACATGCCCCCCTTCAACTGTTAAATTTTGCCTAAGTAAGACTAAATTCATGAAGCAAAAAAGCAATCAGAATACAACAAAAATGTAAGGCTGGCTGTAAACATAAATAACAGCTTAACCCCTTGGGACATCGTTAAGTACTCCAGAATCATTACAGAGCACAAGCTAAGAACAACTGCAGCCAGAGATCCTACTATTTTCACAGCAAACGCTGGAGAGGGCAGAGCAGACTAATATTGTACCCGAACTCAGCTGAGAAACTGCTTCTCAGCCCAACATGTTATTAGTCCCTCCTCCACCTCCATCGCTCCCCTTTCACAGCAAGCAGTTGACACTGGCCTCTTTTACTTCTTGTTTGCCTCCTTTCTGAAGGGACTGCTTGCTGCTAATGCTATTCTGTGCACAAGCTGAGAAGAATTATTCTATGTCCTCTTCCCTCAGCTGATGCTTCATCAATACTCAGGACAGATTTCTTAAGCAAGTCTCTCCACAGACCGTGCCAGAAAGGCACACTTCCATACAGGACACACATCAGCTTGACTCTTTGTCACCTTGTCTTTAATTAGCTTCAGTTTCACCAACAGAAACCATCCGTAATTACAGTTCAGAAGTGCTTCAAATCCTCAGAACAAAGATCTTATTCACGTAAAGAGCTGACGAAAAACCTGCATCTCCCACGGCCCACAAGCAGAAAACTGGAGGATTCTAACAAATCCACTGAGCCACTTCACAACACAGTTTGGGCAAGTCAATCAAGCCAATAGCAAAAACTATTTTTAAATGCAGCTATAAAGCTATCAAAAAGAAATGTGTCTAATATGGTAACTGTGACTGCTACTTGTGTCAAAATAAAGGCAGAAACTGAGAAAACAACATTTATGAAGTTGCACTGTAAGGTGGGCTGAAAGAATTTGATATTCTGTCAGGTACAGTTGCTATTGAGGACAGTCTTCCGGAAAATATTTACTCCTCTTCTCCATTCTCCTTTACCTTAGGAGAAAAGGATAGGAGAAATTACTTCCTCTCACTCCCGCCTGAGTGTTACAGGTTCTTTATATCCCCTTGAAGCAGCTCTCTGCTGAAGTGCAGTACACAGAGTAAGTGCCTAAGTATTTTTGATTGAAGTTTTAATCAGGAGCTGAAAAAATAATTGTGTGAGAAAACGAAGAGAGGGGAGATGTTTTACACACGCGGAGGGCAAGCTGGGTAATGTGTTAAGCATCGCTTTTGCCCATCTGCAAGGACAGGCCCAATCTGGCTGTTTTCACACAGTCGCAGTCAGGTTTGTATTACACCCCGTTTCTTGCAACATGTTTTTTACCTGATGCAGTTCACAGAGTTACATTCTGCCTGGCACGCTCCCTAAACTGCAGTGAAAGACATCACTGTTTTTAATCACTGGTTTACTCTCAAAACTGCTCTGCGCTGAATGCGGCTGATTGCATCTTAGGAGAGATCAAATCCTCCTCCTCCAGCAGCAGCCCCGATTTTATTGGTGACAGAAAGTCAGTCCAGACGCTTCCCACCCCCCGCTCCTTTGCAGGGCAATGAATTGACAATTCACAGGGAAATGCAAAAGGCAGAGAGGAGCCAGCCCCCAGGTGCAGCGCGCCGCACATGCCTCAATAAATAATCCTGTATAGCACCAACACAGCGGCTCCTTGTGCGGTGACGTACCGGGCAACCCATAAACATCGGGAAAGAATACAAATAATCCGCCCGACAGAACCGTCCTTCGCAGTTGCCCAGAGCACTCCCTTCCCCTTCCATCCCTTCTCGCCTCCTTGGCCAGTAACTTCCCCGGGAAGTGGAGCGGAGGGCACTCCGGAGGGGTCTGGATGATATGGGGTGTGGGGGGTACCAGGCTCGTGTGATTCGGGGAACCCGGGCGGCTGCCTGTGCCCCCGCTCCGGGCTTCCAGCCACAGCTCCCTCCGGAGATCGCCCGACACATGACGCAGCCATGTGAAACGCGAGATATATTAAACTTGACGTGAGATGGCACAACGGAGGCGAAAAAAAAAAAAAAGGAAAAAAAAGAAATGGAAAAAAATCTTACAAGGCCACTTAGTTTTAATCGACTCTTCGCTTTTCCCTCCCACACCGAAACGCCCCGCACGCCGAGCGAGGGGAAGGGCAGGGAGATGCCCCGGCGGCCAGCGGAGTTGCTGCGCGGTGGTTCCCCGACCCCCGGGGCCGCCGCCCCCCCGGCCGTCACCTCCCACCGTGCGGTCCCCAAAGCGGCCGGGGGGCCGCGCCGTCATCCCGAACACCGCTCAGGGAGGGAGGGATGGAGGGGGCGAGCTCCCGGCGGCAGCGCAGCAGGCTCGGCTCCCGGCTCGGCTCCCCCCAGAGCGGGAGAGGGCTCGGGAAGCTCCCGCAGGCACCTCGCAGCGCCTCGCGGGGGCTTCCCTGCGCGGCGGCCGCTCCATCCGACTTGGCCGGATAACGGGAACGAAGGGGAAGAGAGCGGCGGCGGAGAGGAGGAGGGAGAGGGGGAATATACATCCAGTCTGCAAACTAGCCGCAGGATGAGCCGCCTGAAGCAGGATGGTGAAGGGATCTGGCTGCTGAACCCGCGGCTCATCCGATTACCCTACGTGCACATCTTATGCCTCGCACACAGACACGCACTCCCGGCGCCATCCCCCCCCCCTCGATCCCGCCGCCCCCCCCGCCGGGGAGGGAGGCACGGCTGGAGCCCGCACGTTCCCCGGGATGTTGTTGCGGCGCTCACGCCGCTGCTGCGGCTGCACCCGCACTTTCGGGGGCACGTTTTGCGGCGGGAGAGCGGGTGAGGAGGGGACGGGGGAGCCGGAGGGGGATGAGGGGGTTCCACCAGCGACTGGCGGCGGCGGGGGGGGGGCTGGTGGTGTAGGTGGAGGGAGAAGCGCGGAGGGCGAAGGAGGGCGGGAAGAGGCTGACGTTGGAAGGGCAGGAAGGGTTAACAGCCGTGCGGCGCTTCAGCGCTGGATAGCGCTACCCGGGCGGGAGGCTGGAGGAGCCCGGGGAGGGGAGGAAGCCGGGAGAGGAGCGAGGGATGGAGCGGGTCAGGAGTGGGGCGGTGGGCAGGGGGGGAGCCTGGGATGCCCCGGGCCGCGGCGGTGCCCCCCCGGCGTCCCTCCCTCCCCGCGCGTGGGGCAGGGGTGGGGAGGAGGCGGTACCTTGTACGAGGATCCCGCAGAGGCTGTAGAAGCGCAGGAGCGCGCCGGGCTTCAGCCGCATCCTGGGGGCTCCCCTCGGGCTGGGTGGGCGCCAGGCACGCAGATCCGCAGCCTCCCGCCGCTCCGCTCTCCGGGCGCTTCCTTCCCCCCGCAGGAGCCGCCGTCGCCGCCGCCTCCGCCGCAGTGTCTCCCTCGCTGTATCCAGTGGGGTGAGGAGGAGGAGGAGGAGGAGGAGGAGGAGGACCAGGGTCGCGGGGGTGGATTGGGGAGGGAGGAGGAGGAGGAGGAAAGAGCGGCTCTCTCCGCTGGCTCCGGCGCTGCTGGGCAGGTTCAGGTTCCCACCGCGGAGCGGTGCCAGGTGCCCCCGCCGGCTCCCCTCGCCCCTGCCGGCGCGTCCGTCCGTCCCTCCGCTCGCTTCTCCTGTGCTGTCCCGTCTCGTCCCGTCCCGCTGGCGGGAGGAGGGGAGAGGAGGGGTGGGATGCGCAGGGACTCGGCTCCGCTCCCGCCGCTTCCCGGCGCGACACACAAGGGCACTCTGGGCTCGCCGGGCTCCCCCGGCCCGGCCCCGCCCACCGCGCACGCCCCGCCTCTTTCCGGGGAAACCACGCCCCCTCAACCACGCCCCCAGCGCCACGCCCCGGCCCTCCCCGCGCCGCGGCCACGCCTCCACTGCGCCCTTGGCCACGCCCCCGCTCGTGCGGCCCCGCCCCTCAGGTGGGCGCGTGAGTGGCGTGCGCGGCCGCCCAACAGCCGGCGCCCGACATCGGCAGCGCGGCCAATGATGCGGCGCGTTACAAAGCGAACGGGCGTTCCTCTGCGCCAAGCCCGCTGAGTGGCGGCCGGCTCGGGCCAATCGCGAGGGGCGGCGGCCGCGCGGCCCCGCTGCAGCCAATGGGCGGGGAGAGCGGCGCGTGGGGGCGTGGCCGGCGGCGGGCGCTGTCCAGGGCCGGTCCTGAAGCGGCGGCAGAGCCGGGGCGGCCCCGGCGGGTGCGGGACGGGCAGTGCCGGCTCCGAGCGGCCCCTCGCTGCGGGGAGTGAAGACCCTTCTCTGTCCTCTGCGTCTCCTCCCGCCCCCCTCCGAAAACAGCTGGTAAAAGGATGGGTCTCCGGATTCCTCGGAACACCGGAATTCCTGTGCAGGCGCCTTTCCCGCGGCTCCGCCTGTAAGGCCCCCGAACAATGGCAATAAAAGAGCGTCCTGGACTTTTCGCGGTGTTGCCCGGACTGTGAACGGCTTGGAGAAAGTTCTTCGTTTGGAGGGTTTCCTGGGAGGGTTGGGAGCATTTCCTGGTCCTAAAGCGCTTGTGGTCTAATAGATAAGGCTCTGAATGTGGTGAGGAACCCAAGAGGGCAGGCACCCACTCCATGTTCGTGTGATTGGTGTTCAGCTCTAAAGGATCTGCCTGTGAACGTCCTGTGGAGGAATTGTGCTGCCTTATCTGGGAGAATGCAGGATTCCCGTGTACCCAAATGCCTGTAGTGGTCAGGTGTTTCTCCAGTTCTGGTTCCATTCCTTTTCTGTTGAGGTTTTTACTGTGTGTTTCCCACAGTAGCTCTCTGTATTCCCGCCAGTCTTTGAATCCAAAGAGCTTTACTTAAATAAGTGGTGAAACAGTCTTTCCTGCGAGAGAGGGAAGCCCTTTAAAAGCTCATTTCTTCGAAGGGTCCATGGTCTCAGATCATCAAGGAAGTGCAATCAGTTGTCAACTTTGCCTCAAAGAGCTTGCACTAGGGTGGGATCTGGGAAGTTATGTATTCTGTATTCGTATCTTCCACTTTGTCCATTAGCAAGTGGTGATAATACCTGGCAACAGTTGAGGCTGCATCAGGTTTTATATTGAGTTCCTCCTATCTCCAAAAGAAGCTCACATAAAATATAGAATCAAATTACAGAATTACATTTTTATGTTCTGTCATTCGAATGCTTTTGTATCAAAGGAACATCACATACATCTCCATGCCTTTGGTAGGTTACATGAACACAATCAAAGATGTTGCACTAGAACGTCCCCTAGGAAGGGAAGATTTGAAGTCTGTCTCTAATGGATGAGTAGATTGGATGATACTTGTCTTACCTCCTTTTTTTTTTATTGATACTGAAAAAATACGCAATAGCCAAAGGTTTTACAACTGTACTCAGAGTAAAGTGCAGGTACAGCAGTAATGATTGGGGAATGATTATCAAAATATTGTAGAAGTTTTACAAAAAGGATCAAGTCATCATTTTTAAGGCAGCACTATAAATGTCAACAAATGCTTTTTTTTTTTCCTTTTTTGGTTGGGAGAGGAAATTAAAAAAGCAATTCCTACAAAATAAGCAACTTAAATCCTTCACTAAGGCAGGACTATAATCCATCCTGAAGTGCTTTTGCATTAATTATGACAACTGACAGCTCTGTACTTTCGACAAGAGGTACTTTTGATTGTAGCCTTGTTCCAGGAAACATTATAAGAAAGATACAAGTGTCTTCCCAGCTTAGTGATTAAAAGGTGTAAAAAGAGGTCCCCTGGCAAGTGTAGGAATGAAATGCCTGTCTGTACATCACGGGGGGTTCCAAGTCTTTGCCACAGTAGTACACTTGGAAAAGCTGATCTGCATGTTTAGAGACACCAGCTGACATTTTCTTCCCAGAATCCAGTAATATGGACATTGCACCACACCCCGTGTCAGAAGCATAACCAAAAACACTGGTACTCACCCTTATTTTCTGGCTCAAGTGTTTCCAAAATGAGTTGGCAACATGTTGATGGGAAAGTGGTTCACAGGGAGCGGAGTGGGGAGGGGAGGTTAGCGTTATTCCTCTGCATCACACAGCAGAAATATTTACTAAACATTAGAAAATTACACTTGGGGTTCAATAAAGCCCCACCAAGCACTGCAGTGCAGAGGAGTACCAAAAGGTCTTGTGCTGAACTGACCTTTTTTCAAAAAGAGAAAAGATTCGCAACAAAACCCTGTGGTTTATCTGACTAACTACATATCTGAAAAATTTATGATTACAACCATTAGAATCGTGCCAGACATGATGTCATACTTCTTCTGATCAACTTAGCAGTGCTAAGTTGACAGTTTAGGTAGGCATAGTGTCGCATCTTGTGACATCCAGTGGCAGCTGACACCAAACATAAGCAGAACTTTGTAATTGGTCTGTGGAGTTGGAGCTCACACACAGCATGGCCAGAAGCATCATTACTTCCTGACTAAAAAGGCAACAGGGACTCTTCAGGAAATACACTTCAGAACGAAGCAAAGAGTAAAACTCTAAAATATTAACACAAGAGAACAATGAAAATCAGATGCAGAGGGTAAACATCTTATCAGAACCAGAAAAATATTCTTCTGCATTATTCTGTTATTTATCAAGGTGATATGTACAAATATTCCTATTGTTAAGCAAAGCAAAAGAATTTAATTCCCAAGCATGATTTAGAAAGGATCCTCAAGTATTTCCTCTCACTGAATCAATAAATAAAAGTTGCCCAACTTCCCATACACTTTCAGAATAGATCCTACATTACCTTCTCCTACCTGACAGTTTTTTTCTTGTTCACTCAAACTGAACTGACAAACTTCCTCTAGCAGAGCAACCAGCTTTCTTAGTCGTTCCCTCCCAATTATTTCTTCTTCATCCTTTTTCAGATGTCACAGATTTCACAGGTATTGGTGTATAGTACAAATCACTTCATGTCTGGGTCCACTACATGATCGGTTTATTTTCTTGCACACTTTTTTACTGCTGATAAACAAGACTTTGGGGTTCTCTCTGAAAAGCTAAACTTCACCTCCTCTGGAAGGAGCCATCTGTATTGCATTGGGCCAATCTACCCTTAGAGTTTACTTTGAAAGACAAGGAAAATCTGAAGGGATAAACATGTTTTTAATTATGCTCCGTGATAGCATCAGTCTTCTATGATTAGGGAGAGGAAATGATGCCCAAGGAAAGCTTATTTGCTTGGCAAAATATTGTGGCTTTGTCGAATTCAGCAAATGGTGGAAGATGTAGAGATGATTTAAGGAGAGAGAACCTTCCAATATTATAAGCTGAGAAACGTAACTCTAGAAACACTTACTCTGTGCTGTGTTCTATAATACATACTTTAAAGTAAATTTCGTGTAATCTAGAGGGTAGTGAAGAAGTAGTCAAAATATGGCTGCAGAGTTCCAACAACAACAAAGAAGCCCCAGAGGAAGTAAGGTATGGAGAAGGCAAGCTGGCAGTGACAGAAGTTAGAGACAGATTCCATCCTGAGCTGCAAAACTGCTAAACACTCACAAGCACATTTAAAATAGTAATTTGAAAAGTGAGATTTGTTTATGTGGCTCAATAAAAAAATCCTGTGAGAAAACCTCACTACAGCTGCCACCTACTCTTGAGGAATTATCTGGTTGGGTAACAGCCGCCTTTTGCAGCAGTCCTTAAAATAAGTCTTTAATGCTTATATTTGCCCCCCTGTCCCTGAAAGTGGCAGCAGAGCATCCCTCATGTGGAGAGTCCCTCTCCAGAAGGCAACACAGTGTGATCACAAAAAGGGGATTTCCCTGCCCAGTGCACCATTACTGACCTGTGTGGAAACCAGAAGGGCAGATGTTCATGGACTGAAGTCTGTGTATTTGCCTTTTACGTCACCCTTTACCATCCTTCAGCAGCTGGAAGAGGAGAGTCGGGGTTTTGTTTGGTTTGGGTGAGAAATTCTGAGTGGTGGAGGTGAGTTGGTGTTGTTTTAAATGATGTGGGTTTGGTTAAAGCTGATTACTTAAAAAAAAATAAAACCCATATGACATTTACTTACCAGATGCCAGCAAAAATGCATTGGTTTGAACAAATACTGTAACTACTAATTTAGTTAAATCTATCCAACTGTGAAAATATATTGGCATGAATAAAAATATATAGACATGAAACGCATTGCACTTTTTTTTTTTGTTGTTTGGAAAAAAATTGGCTTCTGTAAAGAGCAATTGAAGTTTGAAAATATGCTGCCGAGAAGAAATGTGTTCATTTCCATAAAACATATTGGTGTGTAAATTTACAGTATGTATCTCTATCAGTTCCAGAGCAATATTATGAATTCAGTGAAATTTTCTTCTGTGTTAGTTAGTAAGATGAAACAAGTAAAAGGAATGGCATGCTGCAAATACTACATATAAAATATGTGTGGGATGAAGTCCCATTTATAAAGCAATTATAAATGTGTGATATTTCACAGACTTTGGGAGGAGAAAAAAGTCTGTAAAACAAAAAAACTGCCAATGCAATACCAATGCAAAATAAACCAAGGTCAAACCTCATTGGTATCATTATCATTGAAAAATCCCTAATCTACATTTTGAGTTGGCGAATATAATTGCAGGAGAGAATTACCAATGGTGAGTGGAAGCAGAATTACCTTATTCATTACCTGACCTCTCATCCATATAATTTGTGGAATGAAGACATGGAAAAAAGTGGTGCTGGTAACATAATTCTCCATACACTCTAGTTCGGTCTCCCTCCTCCTGGAATGATGGATAATTAGCAGAAGTGTGTGCTGTCCTAGGCCTTCTAACTGTTAACTAAGAAGCAACCACTTGAAGAAACATTTAAGTTACCTACCCCAGATGATAAACTTGTAGTTATATCCTTCCAGAGTTCAAGAAGCATTTGGACAATGTTCTCAGGCACATTTTGTGATTCTTGGGTCT